TAGGTGGGTGGTCCTGGGAATATATAAGAAAGTAAACTGAGCAAGTCGTGAGGAAAAACCAGTAAGCTGCACTCCTTTGTTGTTTCTGCATCAGATGCTGCCTCCAAGTTCTTGCCTTGAGTTTCTGACTTGACTTCCTTCGATAATGAACTGTGATGTGGAAGTGGGAGCAAATTAAATCCTTTCCTTTCCAAGCTGCCTTTGGTCGTGGTGTTTCCTCACAGCAATAGAGACCCTAACTAAGACACTAGATACCCAATGAATTGTTCATGTCTGCCAAGCCAAACAAATTTACCTTGATCTCGATACTTCTTACAGGCATGTTCCTTTCCTTTTTATCCTGTGTATCTGGCTTGTGAATAACACCGGATTTTTCTCCCTACTTATTTTCCTTAGTTTCCTTTGTATATATTAATTATGCTCACCATATAAAATATTGGGAGTTTTAGAGATTGTGGTCTGGACTCATACACATACTTCTGGAACAAAAGAAGCATTTTTAATGCCTTATTTGTTGCAGACAGTGACTTATTGTGTACCCCTGGATGGCTTTGAACTCTGCATGTAGAGCAGACTGCATGTAGAGTCACAGAACTCTACCTGCCCCTCCCTCTTGCGTGTTAGGATTAAGATGTGAACTACCATGCCTGGCCTAGTAAATTACCATTTTCACTACTATCTTTACAGTGGATCTTTATGTGTATTCATTGATATCTCTCCTGAGCTCTAGGTTATTTAGTATTTCTCTTGAAAAAATGATTGATATTGAATTAGACTGTTAATAACACAAAAGTAGTAATCATTCCATATAATCCTGGATTTTCTTTTGTTGCTGATGGAGGTGGAATGGATATTGGGGTTGTGCCCAGACTCTACTGGGCCACATACAACCCCTATCCAAAGAGTTTCTTTTATATTACTCTCCATGGATTGCTGAATAGACTGACTCTATTATGAATTAATGTAGAAACCCTAAGCTTTTCAGCTGCTTAACCTAAATAAACACACTACTGTTTTTTTCAAGGTACATGTTTTTTAATGTGCTATCATATGTATCCACTCATCTATGTCCTGCTGCTGTTGTTGCTGAAGTTCAGCCTCCCTTCTTTTTTGGGTTATTACAGAACCTTCTGACTCCCTGGCCCTAGTACCTTGGGTCCTCTCCAGCTCTCCAACCTTTAATTACAGCTAGCATTATCTTAAAATGGAATTTGTGTTCTAAACCTGCACTCCTTAAAGCTGTGAGTGGCTCCAAGGCACCTTCAAAATGATACCACACTATCTGTTCCCTTCCCTCTACCTGTGTATGCTCTACCATCTACCAAGAGTTTTATTGATCTCTTGTGTTCATCAGTAATAGCTTAAGTAGTATCAACATAGAAACCACAATCATCAAAGATTTGATTGAGAAAAGTAAAGAAATGATCCATCAATCCAGCTGTGATATACAATAAAGGGAGATAGTAGTAATCTGGAAGTAATGACACTAGACATTCTAGTTTCTCAGACAGGGCCTTGATTAAATTTGTACTCAGTATATAAAATGACGAGCAACTTCAAAATTTTGCATCTGGAGTTAAATCTCATGTAAGCATTACTCAAAAGAGCCATTCTGTAATATAAAAGAACAAGAACGAATATCAACAAAGTTAAGCAACATCAAACTGGTATTTTGGAAAAGAACCCATTTTGAAAGTTAACTTATGGGTCATTGGATAAATGCAGATTTCTGGTAATAAATTTCCAGCATACATAGGAGGAACCAGTGAGGTCTGATAGACCAAGGCAAATTTCAGCCACAATTTTCTTTTATCTTTTTTTTTTTTTTCCTCTCAAGACAGGGTTTCTGTGTAGCCCTTGCTGTCTTGAAACTCTGTGGAGACCAGGCTAGCCTCCAATTCCTAGATCTCCCTGCTTCTGTCTCCCAGCTCCTGGGATTAAAGGTGTGTGCCACCACCACCTTGCTTCAGCCACATTTTTTATCCAAATAATGATTTAAGAATGCAGGCGGATCTCTGAGTTCAAGGTCAGCCTGGTCTACAGAGTGAATTCCAGGACAGCCAGGACTGTTACATAGAGAAACCCTCCTCAAAACAAACAAACATCAGAATGCAGAAACAAGGAATTAGTAAATAACCTTGGAGTTGACAAAGCTGTGGAAGGAGGCCAACAAATGGTAGTTGTTTTTGCTTTTATATGTAATAACTTTTTGTGTGGGGGAGAGGGTACTATTTGTCAAGAAATATTAAGCATTTTTAGATTCCATCTGGATACTGGGAATGAGTGGTAACAGAAGAGAAGATGGAAACAAAGATTTTGCAAAACTCCAAGCAAGAGATGTTGCTGGCATGGCCTGCAGTGGTGGTATTGCAGATCATAAATGGTCAGATTAGATGTTGAGGTTGCACCTATAGAATTGATCCTGGTAGTAAAATGTTTGGGGGAAATTGCCGAGAAGGTGTAACAATAAAAAATAGAAAGTATAAGATACTTTAGGATGTACATTAGCCATCTAAAATATTTCTTGAGTTTAAGGAAAATGTCAGTTCACATTTAGAGAACGGTAGGATAGTTTGAAATTTTGGTGTTGAAAGGATGAGAGGCCAAGCAAAAACTACAGGGAGCAGTGTGAAATAGTACTTCAGCAGAATGTGCATGGAAGCCTCACTAAAACCCCCTTGTTTCAAACTCATGTTGCTATTTTCCTTGATGGTTTATTTCCAAATTAAAATGTACTCTAAGGAATTGAGCAGCTGTGTTATTTGTTGATAATGCAGAAGCTTGCCTCAAATGGGATTTTAAAAAGTAGGACCAAAGAAAGGGCATACAGTTTAGAGAAGTCTGTTTTTATTCTGGAGGAGAGAATGGGATAGTGAATACTTTGCACATGTGCTCTCCTTTTTCAAATGGAATGTGTTTGAGATGAAATGATCCTCTAAAGAGAAAAGTGTGTTGTCATAAAGATCTGTATCGGCAGTAGGTCCTTTTAATGTGAACTCTTGGTTCTTTTTGGACAGTCAGTATTCCTAGGTCTGTCAAACAGTATGCATTTACTGTTGGTGAGTGGATTTACCTCTAATTTAGTAGTGCTAGGGGAATGATAAGTATACAGTCTATCTTGGGGAAATTTGTAGCCTGTGGTGAAACAAGAGAAAACAGCACAAACTAAGGAATTCCAACTACAGAAAATAAATGTAGAAAATTCCCAAGACCCTAACTATTGACATATATGGTAATTACACTCAAAGATGTGATTACAGCACTCGGGAGGCAGAGGCAGGCAGATCTCTGTGAATTCGAGGCCAGCCTGGTCTACAGAGCAAGTTCCAGGACAGCCTCCAAAACAATACAGAGAAGCCTGTCACCAAAAACAAAAACAAATAAACAAAAAAACAAAAGATGTGATTACATTCAGAGGTGGTAGAAAATAAGTTGGCCCTGATGGGTGTGTATAAGTTTGGTGGGGAAGAAAAATTCAAGTATGTTAGGTTAACGGGCAAATTAACAGACTAGATAAAAGGACAGGTATTGTACAAGAAACCCCAAGAGCAAGTTCTTAGCACAAAGGAGATTTATTTGCCCCAGTGGGACAAAGACAGGAGATAGAGAATGAGGGAGGAGAAAGGAGCAAAAGGGAGAGAAAAGGATAGAGAGGAGACAAATGGGGTCCACAGGCAAACGACAGTTTATAAAAGGGGAAACCTATGTTAGGGTGAAGTGTTTAATTCTAACTGGGCGTGTTAATTAAGTGAAACAAAAGAGAGCTTTTGATTGCTGGACTTCAGTACTTTTATGGTTGGACATAGGTAGTCAGTCTCAGAAGGAGGAAGTGACCAAATATGGGGATAGACCCTGGTGACTAGCTCTTAAGAATGCAAACCAATTGTGCATGCCCTTAATCCCAGCACCAGTCTGGCCTACAAATCAAGTTCCAGGACAGCCAGTCCCTTACATAGAGAAACCCTAACTTGATGGGGAAACAGAAAAAAAAAAAAAAAAGTAATCTGTTTTAGCAAGGCAGAGGGAATGGGAGAAGGGCAAAGCCTGCCAGAGCCATGCTTGCATGTTTGGGTCCGCTAGAGCCCCTTCAGTAGGTTATGAAGAAGAAAAATACCTTAGGATTTGAAAAATCTAAGCATTAAGCATTACCAGTTTTTATTCCTACACCATTGTCGAACCCATTTATCATTTGCTTTTACATAAAATGGCTATGAGACATTTCTAATTTGCAAAAGGATGGAAAGATATTTGTTGTAGTGCTGGGCAGATTGGTTTTACTTGTACATACATAGGGTGAGCAGAGACAATAAAGGAGGTTGTAAGAAGGAATAGTTAAGCCGGACTGATGCAAAACGCTGACAGCCTATCTGGAAAATACGCGCACGCCGGCCAACTCCATAGAGTGTAGTCGGAGAAAGCAAGACGCAATCGATACTTATGTTGAAACTCAATTAAAAATATACTCCCCTCTTTCCAGCGTTTTCCCAGACTCATAATGAAGCCAGCCAATTCCAGAGTCTGGGAACACAAAAAGCGCTTCCAGCACGCGTAGTTTAGCGTAAGAAAGTGCTAGATACCCGTGGATACCAACACTGCCTTTCCCGGTATGGTCTCGGCACGAAGACTTAACACTTCCCACTTTCATCTGTGGAAGCCAAACCCCCAAACTGGACTGTATCCGTGTTGAGCGTTTGCATTTTTAAGCTTGCACGACGTGTAAACAATGGCTCAAAGAAAGGCCTTCTCAAATGACTAGCGAATTTCCGGAAAGTCTGGTCTCCCACTGACTCCCCCAAAGAGCGAAGGGCTGCAGACATCACGCGTCTGGGTCGCAGACAGCCTCTGCTTTCTTCCAGCCCCAGCTCTGAGAGCGGCCGCTGACCCAGAATGGCACAGATGGATCGGAAGGCAGGCGGGATAGAGAGGCCGTTGCGAGCAACCGCTCTAGCTCGGTTTCTCGTCTCTATGGTCGCCAGCGCGAGTTCCTCGCCCTCCCCCCCCCCGCCCCTCCTCCAGGAACGAGCGCTCTTTCTGGACGCACGCGCGGTGCCAGGAGGGAGTTCCGTTTCCGGCCCGGTGGCTTCCGACTTTTGGCGTTCGGTAGTCGCGGTTGGTGGGTAGCAACTGAGCCAAGATGTTGCGGAATCTGCTGGTAAGTAGCTTTTGGGGTTTGCCTGGTGCTGGGGTGTCCGGGCGGAGGCTCAGGGACCCCGACGGAGGCCCGTACTGGAAGTGGGCAGAAGACAGCGGCGGGAGTCACCTTGGCCGCGTCCTCTTGCCCTGACCTTCCGAATACTCTCCGCTCGTTATCGCCGGGTAGACGTAGAGGGGAGAGCATGACCACATTTGCTTGCCTAGTCACTACCGTTAACCGGCGATTATCGGTAAGATTGTATCTCTGATGTAGGCTCGGGCAAGAGGGTTGACACCTGGAAACATTAGGCGGAAAAGTGGCTTTTGTCATTTGTTTTGTATCATAGTGAAAGGATATAAATTTACACGGGTATTATCTGCATCAGAAGTAAGCTAAAGAACGAAATTACTCAATTTTGGTTGGCATTTAAAGGGTATTCACGGCTGAAGTGTAATGGCGTTTCCGAGTTGCCTTTTAACACCTCTGACTGGGTTTGTGAAGTATTTTCCCAGAAATTAAAAAGATGTGATTTGATTTTCTTTTGTAATTATTTAACAGTTTTAGTAACTTAGAATTACCATTTAGAAAGTGGACTGCATGTTAACTGATTCAAGTAAAAGCAAGACGTACACGCCATTAGAATCTTCTTAGGTGGCTAGGTGTGTAACTGGTAGGGTGCTTGCCTAGCGTGTGCCGTCCACTGCAAAAATAATCTTGAGTAAGAATCTTTCGGGTAGCCCAACCCCCCCCAAAAGCGGGGCGGTGGTGGCACATGTCCTTAATCCCAGCGCTTTGGAGGCAGAGGCAGGCAGATCTCTGAGTTCCAGACCAGACTGGTTTACAGAGTGAGTTACAGGACAGCCAGGGTGACACAGAGAAACCCTTCTTGAAAAACAACAAATCTTTCTGGTTTACTTTTCAGTGAAGTATTCAGCATATGTGGATACTAAAGGAAAATGTTTGAACGTTGTCTATCTTTTAAATTTATTTTTTTCTGTGTTTCATTGTGCTTTGTTCAACAAAAATAAAATGCTATTGATTGATTTCAGGCACAGGCTATATAGGCCATGGCTTCTGGAGACCGCAATTCATAGTGTGAAACACAGAGCAGAGGAGAGACAACATCTAGAAAGCCTGGGATTTAGTATTGATGAGTTAGATATGGTTTAACTCAGTTTCCTTTCACTGTGTGAAGGACTGGAAATGACCTCAGAAGGTTTCTTTAGGCTCTAAGTCTTGTTTACTCGATGTGGATTTTCTGTCTCAGGCCCTCCGTCAGGTTACCCAGAGGACCATCAGCACTACTTCACGACGGCATTTTGAAAACAAAGTTTCAGAGAAACAAAAGCTGTTTCAGGTACTGAACTATTTTAGGTGACCATTACCTGTAATAGAACTCAGAAAGTGAATTTAGGGAGCAAATCCAGAGGTCTGCTTCTTAGAGCCTCTTTTGTATAAGCTCGAGCATATGGGACTCTTTGGTAACTGGTTATTTGCTATATCCAAGAAGTGCCTGGGGAGGTGGAAAACATGCATAGGTGTGTGTGTGTGTGTGTGTGTGTGTGTGTGTGTGTGTGTGTGTGTGTAATTTATGATGAATTGGCATTCTTTGGGAAGTAATTGTATAGGAACAGGAAAATAAAAGGCCCAGAAACAAAAAAAATGTATGTTGCAGAAATTTAGTAGATGTTACAAGGCGTAGCATACCTACAGGAAAGAGTAGAGTAAATAATCTTAGGTGGGGAAGATTTCTAAGGAAACTTCAAAAGACCTGAAGAGAGCAATCAAGCCCTAAAAGTATATGATTTATCTCTGTAAGGAGAAGGAACAGATGGGTAGTTTTTCCAAATATGGTTTTATCATTTGAGGTCTGTAAGAAATGCAAATCAAGTCAGCATAGCTGTCTGGACAAGGAATACTCCTATGGAGTGCTGCAGGCATTTTACTCCTGACTGCTAACCCTCTATTCAGTTCCCTTTGCCCTAAACACCTTCTAGCTAGTGGATTGGGAAACTGCAGAGATCTGGACTTCACCTTTTTGTGGAGCCAGAACATGATTTCTCTGGAGATCTAGATGGAGGGACCACTGCTGGCCCCTATCTGTTGGTGGAGCAGAAGTACTGCCATGTGGTGATTCCTTCAAAGCCATGAAGGCTCCAACACTGTTCTTCCAGCCCCTTTCTGGACACAGACTTATACACCAGCTTGACCATATGAGTGTCACCAAGAAATGGTTGTAACCATGTCATTGTTTTTCGTTTTATAGATTTAAAGCTACATTACCCTGACTGTAACTGTTCTTAGAACTGAAAAACTATAGCTTCTATGTCAGCTCTTGGAGCCAAGTCTTCTTAAAGCAAACAGATTGAATGGCAACCCCACTCCCTGTGCTCTAAATAGAAAGATTTAAAACATTGTATTTGTCAGGCAAACAGGAGATATAATACCATCCACAGGGTTTCCATATAAGCTAAAGCTAAGCAGGAGTATATTAGGGACAGAAGTTAATCTAGTAGTTGAAACATTGTAAACTAATCACATACCCTGTCATCTAAGGCACCCTCTTTAAGACACTTTAGAATACATGCATATATATATATAAGAAAATAGATGAAAGATTTTAAAGAACCCAATCTAGAAATTGCTAAAGGATTGGCTAATTCAGTTAAGACATTTTTCAGTTGGTAGAATATTATGTAGCCATTGAAGAGAGATTTGAATGGATTTAGAAGCTGTTTTTGAAAATATTGTATAACATCATTATATAGCATAAGCCATTCTATATATTAAATATATATAACTTAGGAGAATTGATAAATATAAATCTTAAAAATGGTGATATGTACCATACTGTTAATAGTTGGGGAAAGGCCCAATGGAACATGGCACTTAACCTTTATCAGTAATTAGATTGTGAATGATTTTTGTCTTGTGATTTATAACTTTTTCCTAAGTAAAATTAAAGTGGTTAAAGTATTAATATGTATTTCATAAAACTAAATTCTTAAGTAGATAAGAGTGAACTAGTGTTATAAACAAAGCCTCTTGCCTTATTTTATAAGGGGAAAAATCTTCCTAATGATCAATGGGCCTTCTATTTACATTGTTGTATTCAAGGGGTAATTGTTCCTGCTCTGAAGTTTGTATAGTCCTTAAGATATCATTACGTCTTCAGTTAGCTTGAAAACGATGCTGTCTTTTAAATGTTTGTAATTTTAAAGCAGTAGAGAAAGAATAAAAATTATAAGCCTCTTAAATTATTTAAATTCTGGGAGTGTCAGGAGCTATTGGATTTTATATGAATAATTAATATTCTGACTCTTAACTGGAAATAAGTGACATATGTATCAATGTCTTTGTTTTTTCACCCAGGAGGATAATGGGATCCCAGTGCATCTGAAGGGCGGGACATCTGATGCTCTCCTCTACAGACTTACAATGGCTCTGACACTTGGTGGTAAGACATTGTTTGAGTGTTTCCAGGGCAGGAGCAGCAGTGACACCTTCCTTACTTTTGCTGTGGCTGTGTTTATTGCAGGTAGTCTGTCTGTCTGCCATCTCACAGCACCTCAGATAAGCAATTGAGAGGCCACTTAGAATATACAACCCAAGAGCAATCTGACCTTTAAAACAGGTTCACTCGCAGATTTGTGGTTCGCTTTCTGTGAGTGTCCCTTTCCCCAAACATTCACACTACCCTGCCTCCAGTAGTAGGGACATTCAAAAGTTTGCATTCATTATGTTGAAGGGTATTGTGACATATCTACCTTTTAAAAATAGAAATGAAGTAATGATGAAACTAGATTAATTTTTTAAAAATTTCATTATCTATCACAATACTTATGTTTGATTAAGAGTTGTGTAGGTGTGTGTCTTCTCACTAGAAATCAAACCCAGGAACTTAGGCACTAGAAGAAAACACCCTACCTCCGAGCTTGTCTGAACAACAGCTTTGCCTTTAACCTTTGAGCTGAAATAAGAAGTGTATGTACTGAAATGCCAGCATCCCTAATAAGTTTTCGTGTGTTTCTCAGGAACAGTGTATGCCATCTATCAGTTAGCCATGGCTTCATTTCCCAAGAAGCAGAACTGACTTCATCCCAGCCTTCCCGTGGTTCAGTTGCATTCAGCGCTCGGACCAGGAATCTGATGAGTAACTGAGCTCTTCTTTGGGGATCAATATTTATTGATGTGTACTAACTGCCACCAATAAAGCAGTCTTTACCATGCTTTGTCTCCCTTTTCACTTGAATGTACAGTACCGAAAAATAAATCAGTTTTGGGTCAGTGCTTGCAAATCTTATGTAAGGGACAAAATTTTTTTAAAAAGTCCTTTGTAAATCTTTCTAAAGCACTGTCATTATGACATTATTTAGGAAATTTTACTTTCAGCCGCTAAGAATTAGTAGGTGGTCTTCAAGGTCATTTGAGGTTGACCCTTGAAAGGATATTGCTTTGCTCTCTGTCCCTTCCATGTGTTCCCAGGGTAAAGTGGTGGTCCTGTCTGCTCTTTTTTCTCTATGCTGAGATGTTAGTGTATTATATCCTAGTATTAGTGTTTACTAGGCTTCTGAGGACTTTTTCTACATCCAGAATGAGTTTTTATGATTTTATTCTAATCCTTAGCATAAACTAAAAATAATTATAAAAGTTAGGGGGATTATAAGGAGTCAGACTTTTCTTTCCTTCTACAGGGTGTACCCTGATAATCTCTTAAAATAACCTACGTCAGAATTAAGGGAAGTGCATGAGTAAGGTTTTTCTTTAGCTTAAATTTTTAGACAAAAAATAAAAAAAATTTAGAAAGCTTGAACTGTTTGAAATAACCAAATTAGTCTTTGCTATATGAAAACATGGAGGTAAAGTTTTCTCAAAAGGTTGCCAGTTACTGATAATTTAATCTTAGATTCTGAAGTTTAAAGGGTTGCTGGATGGTAGTGTGTGTCTTGCTAGCTTAGGAGGAAGTAAACAGTAGAGGTCTTTGAAAGCTGAGAAGGTTCCCCAGTGACTTAGAACCTGGACCAAGCCATAGTCTCCTGGTGAAAAGAACCACTGATGATGTCTTGAAAAGAATGGTAGCATTTTTTTTCAAGCAAGAGGGACTTTAGTTAATTTTCATAAGTGATTTAAGGTACTTTTTGTTTTGGTTTTACGAGACAGGGTTTCTCTGTATTGTTCTGGAGGCTGTCCTGGAACTCATGCTGTAGACCAGGCTGGCCTCGAACTCACAGAGATCCACCTGCCTCTGCCTCCCGAGTGCTGGGATTAAAGGTGTGCGCCACCAACGCCTCCGACTGCTGGTTCTTTTTTTGTTTGTTTGTTTGTTTGGATGCTGGAGACAAACATCTTTATTAAAGATACTACCAAAATTTTGTCAAACATTTCAAAACAGATTTGTAAACATAATGCTTCCCTTTTCAACCAGCAGCACTTTGAAAAGACGATACAAGACAACACAACCTGAATCAACATTAGTTCAAAATCCTTATATTTTGACCACATAACTTATGTTCCCACATGATAAGACAAGAGATAGTTTAAATCAACATTAACAGATAAACTCCATGAAATGAAAGTTTGTGCTGTTCAATGAATCACAGTATGTTATGGGTAAATATATCTACTTTTTGTATTCCTGGTATCCAGGATGAAAAATCTTTAATATACATCTGATGTAGGTAATAGCTTCTTTGCATATCTCTCTTCAGAAATACTTTATAGCAGTATATAAGTAGGTTACCTACACATTTAATTTTATCATTTGCCCCAAAACTATATATTTCATTTTTATAATATATCAATTTTTTTTGCCCAACATTAATAAAGCTGACAAACTGTTGAAATGGAAATGCTTTTTTCTTCCACAATAGAAGTAGCAATTTGACAGAAACAAATAAACATCACCAATAACCTGCTATAACACTCATCAGTTGTTTAACCTGAGTGTCCGGCCTACTGAGTAGCCGCTTTTCACCTTCCTGCAGCTCACACACACGCACACACACTCACACACACACACACACACACGTTCTGACGCTGGTAGGCCACAGTGTGTTTCCCGTGGCTGTCGCACAGGGGAACAGTGCAGCTACTGATTAACCACACAATGTACACAACTAGCCATTGCAATGGGGGGTTTAACTTGCAGGGCAGGTTTAACACTGGAGAGCCAGTCAGCCCTTTGTGTGTGTGTGTGTTGTGTATGTGTGTGTATGTGCATAGAAAACTACACACATATTCAAACAACTTTCTATTTTTCAACCCTTGAATTGTGTGCAAATGTCTATATATTCTACCATTTAAGGCAAAGAGTTTGCATTAAGAAAGGTCAGAAAATAGGCTTATGAAAAGCATTTCAGTTTGCACATTACTGTTTTGTTTTTAAATACAAGCAACTCTTAAGTGTGGACATTGCATCCTTGATACCTAAATTAAAAAAATCATCTCTAATGACAAACACAAGTTTTCAAGGAAAAATTGATTTGAAGTATAGACACTGGATCCCCACTATCTAAAACACTGCTTCTATTAACAACTTTGGGGATTGGGGGGGGGGGGACCAGAAAAAGAAAGCAGCTTTAAAATCCAGGGAAGCAAAGTAGGATGAGGAGAAAAAAAAAGTAACTCAAGTTTACTAATACTGAAACTTCCAACAAGCAAAGTTTCATCTTTTAGAATCTAAAGCAACTCATCTGGAATTTTAAATAAATAAGTTTTAAGTTTTATTCACATCTTCTGGTCCAAGCAGAGTTCTAGTGCCATGACTCTGCTTGCTGTTGGTCAGATTCACCTATTAGTCTTTTGATGTGAGCCAGCTTGTTATGAAGATACTCGCATCTGTACTTTTCTTCATGGTAATTGGGACTGGACTGCTTGATCTTCTGATATTCTTGTAAGACTTCTTCATGAACATTCTGGTACTCTTTTGAACCTGGAGAAAGGCGCTTTCGTTGTGCATCCAGCTTACTAAATCTCCTGGCTACAGTTTCCATCCTGGCATGCAAAGCTCTGTACTCATCATACTCAGCGTTGAAGTCATCTTTGTATTTCTGGCGTTGCTCATAGGAGACAATAGCAATATATTTCACCAAATAATCTGGGAGTTCAATTGTTGAAGCAGGCTCCATGGAGGCTGTGCAACCTTCTTTAACTCCTTCACTGGGATTCAGACTGAAGTCCCTCAGCTTGGCAGCTTCTTCTCTCTGAAGGTCTTCCTCCTTTTCCTCCACTCGTTCTTTTCTAATATCCATATAGATTTGTAGCCGATTAGGTATAAGAAGAAAGGCATTTCAGGAAAAAGAAACCACCCAGAGCAAATGCCCTGAAGTTTCTGGCCATGTTCAGAGAAAAGGGTAGTGAGTAGTTACTGCTGTGGGTGACCCAGACAAAGAAGTAAGATGCCCATCAAGTAGGGCCTTGCAGTCTTACAAGGAGGGGACTATTACAGAGAAACCCTGTCTCGAAATAACCAGGAACCACTTTCCAAGGGAAGGTTGACTTGCTTCTTTTTCTTTTCTTTCCTTTCCCAGTGCACTCTCAAATAAAATGCTGGCATTCCAGATTCCATTATACATTTATGGTAAATAACAATTTCAGTTGAAACAGTTCCACTGGAATCCAATCAGTTCAGTTCAACTCAATAGCAGTTTGTTGATGCAGTGAGAATTCTTGGTTTTGCTGTGTGTGTGTGTGTGTGTGTGTGTGTGTGTGTGTGTGTGTGTTTTAATTGTGAGGGATTGCAAAAGAGCAATGTTACCACAAGAGGGCACTACTGAGCACAGAGAAGAAGGATATCATTTTTCTTGCTATCACATAAATATTTTTGTAAATCTAGTAAGGATCATGCCAGTGGGAAAGTCTGCCTCTTTGAACTACCGCTTAAGCGCACATCCAGAAACAAGCATGCTTCGCAGTCAGTGATATGTGCTGTGCAGAACATTCAAAGAAAGAGGGTCACTCCAAATACAGTCAAATCTGGCAGCAAGAGGAACAGTTCTGAGGAACTGAACCTCAAATAGCCTGCAGAAGTGTATTTATTGGTTGCTACACAGAAGTTGTTTTTTGGTAAAACAAGTTCTTCATATCCAAAGCCCTTGATCTGATCTGTGTTTTCTGAAGGCAACCTCACACACACCCCTACAACTTTGTCCTTACTGGGTACTGTTTGCAGTAACTGATAAAGCAAGAAGTCGTGCAAAGGTGGTAAATTGCCTTTGGAGAACTCTGTAAATAACAGAAAACAATCACTGTTTTCAACCATTTCTCAAGGTACTTTTAGAACCTGACCATAAATACAGTGAAAACAACTGTTTCTAATGTTTACACTAGATACAATGATTCTACTAATTTTTCCCCTACACTTTGCATGCTATAACTATTGAAGGAAAGAACAGTTTATGAACTCTTCTGATTGCAATCTGACTTCATAATAGTTGACAAGTTTTATATAGGAATTTGATAATTTTTTGCATACCAAAGTGTTTACAATATATACACATTTTTAAAATATTTAAATTTCCTTTAAGATTTTTAAAAATTTTTAATTTTATGTGTATGTGTCTATATATGTGTATATGCACATGTGAGTACATGTGCCTTCAGAGTCCAGAAAAGGGCTTCACATTTCCTGGAGCTGCAGTTCCAGCTGGTTGTAAGCTACCTGATGTGGGCACTGGGAGCTGAATTTAGCTTCACTGCAATAACAGATGTGCTCTTAACTGCTGAACCATCTCTCCCAACTCTGAAGATGTCATTTTAATTGTGTATGTATGAATGGGTGCTTGTCTATGTAGGGTAATGTACACACAAACATAGGTGCCTATTAAGGCCAGAAGAGGGTACTGGGTACCCTGGAGTTGGATTTGCAGAATGGTTATAAGCCACCTGATATGGGTGCTGGAAGCTGAAGTCAGGTCCTCTGCAAAAGCAGTGTAGACTCGTAACCGCTGAGCCTTCTCTCCAGCTCCGCAACATGATATCATGGTGTATTCATACATTGTAGAATTATTTATACTTAGCATGTGCACTATTGGCATGATGATGTGCACACATTTAATCCCAGTACTCAGGAGGCAGAGGCAGGTAAATCTATGTGAGTTTGAGGCCAGTCCGGTCTACAGAGTGAGTTCCAGGACAGCTAAGACTGTTTCACAGAGAAACCCTGTCTTGACCCCCCGCAAAAAGCCCTCAAAATCTGTGTTAATTCATTTACTTTTTGTGGTGAAAACAC